GGTCTGTGCTTATTCTAGGTTGGCCTAGAGTCGTCCTGTCTCCATCTCCTGAGTGCTGGCTAAGGTGACAGGCTGTGCCCCCATCCGTAGAGTATAACTGTATGACCCATTCTGAAGAAGCTGTGTCCATTTGCTGCATCCTCAGTGTTAAGGAATATGGTTCATTATAAATACGATAGTTGAATTTCAGTTGAGCATCAGAACACCCCCCTCACTCACTCCCTCAGTGCCATTTGATAAATTATGATACCAACAAATACAAAGTTTTCCAGGTTAGTTTCTCTATTCTCATAAAATTTAATGCTCCGGTTTCATTTTGAGCAGTGGATGAGTCTGAAGACTGGACATGTGTTCGTTGTATCTTAGGCGTGATGATGAATGGGACTGGTCCTTCATATTTTAGTTTCAAAACTTCCCTGTCCGCCTCTTGTTTAAAGATAAAGGTCACATTTTCAGACTAGACGTTAGTTCTTGGGGAGAAAGGGTGAATGTTTAAGGCATTACTTTAAAAGAAGAGTTTTGAGTGGGTGTGGCTTTCTCATAGTTGATTCAGAATGCATGATGTTGCACATAGCACAAGCTGGTTGAGTGGCTGTGCAAAAGCAGTGATTTGAAGCACTAGCATCCAGCTGTGAAGAAAAGAGTCCAGTGCTTAAGTTCTTCTGAGAGACTCGCTCTCGAATCTGTGCGCAGGTGTGATGGAAACGAGGGCTGAGTCAAATGGGGATGATGGGCAGGCCCTCCCATTGTGTTCATGGCCAGGGAACTTGGGACAGCTGCTTGCGATAACAGGAATTCAAACGTATATTCTGTTTATTGTATTTGTACAATTATGAATTTTCCTTTTGAACCCATCTTGCTGTCATGTGAACATGTTGATAGTATCACTGAATGTCATAGTACTGATCACCAAGGCCCTGTGAACTCTTCTGCCTGCACAAGCCCAAGTGAAACCACGTGATGGACGAGTCAAGGAGGTGAGAGCTAGGCGTAGACTCGGTTCATGGAGCACTTGTCAGGATCAAGGGCAGGATCAGCCCTTCCGGAAGCAGGCCACACAGCCCTGTTGTTTATAGAAAATACACCGAGAAAAGTCTAGAACTTGTTTACTTTTTCCCTCCCTTCTACCATCATTCTTCCTAAGTTTTCTTTTCCATTTCCTTCAGGTATCACTTCTTAAAACAACAACAACAACAAACCTTTATAGCTGAGTATGGTGGCATAGGCCCTTAGTCCCAGCACTCATGAGGCAGAGGCAGACAGATCTCCGTGAGTCAGAGGCTAGCCTAGTCTACATAGTAGGTTCCAGGATAGCCAACACTATACAGAGAGGCCCTTTCCCTAAAATTAACTAATAATACTGATAATAATCCTTAAAAACCTTTTACAACTTTTTGATAATGTCAAGTGGCCAGTTTGTGATATTTAATCTTTTCTGAGAACTTTGGAATAATGGACTGAGATAATTAGCCACATTCAAAGATCTCACTCATATGTGAACACCATTGAAAATCTGTTTATACTACTGTTACCTCCAATAATGGCTGACAAAAGACTCCATGATTTCTTTGTTCAAAACATGATGGTGAAAGTGTAGGCTTATCTCCTGGGTGGTGAAAGGGTGTCCTTTGTATGGGGCATTGAGAATACTGCCTGATCACACTTGGTAAGGATTTCTCATATACTCTTGTGTCTTCTCTCAGTTTTACCCAGATTTTGTGCTAACCCACGACCAGAGCCCTCTGAACTGCTTTTGTGTGTTTACTGGGTATTGAGACTGTGGGTCTTAGAAAATCTGCTCTCAGACCTGCAGTGCTGCCTCAGGGCACCTCTGCCCAAGGAGTGCCTCTGCAACAGAGCTCTCTGCTCTCCACCCCTGGGTTTGCTTCTGACTGCACTCATGCATTTAAGTGACAGGAAGCAACAACATTCTCCAAAGCTTGAGCCTTTTTCAGACAGTCACAGCCATGTGCCTGTGGTGTTGCAGTTGGTGGGGACAGGGGTCGGACTGTTCTGCTCCGGGCAGTGCTTTGAAATACCAGAGCTATCTTCTGAGGAAAACTTTACCCAGTTCATGTGATCCAAACTGTCCAACCCACAGGCTTTTTCCTTCCTTCTAAGGACTGGCACAACTTTACAAGTGTTTGGATGTAGGTATCCCTCCTCATCAGCAGGTTCTGGATAGGAACAGTTATGGATGCAGTGGGATTCACTGGACTCCCACTCTGCCTCTGGTTCTGGTTAGCCATCACCCTGCTCTAGCCATCTGACTGAGGAGTACGCTAACCTGCATCTCTTTAGTTCTTGCCTCTGCTCTTCCTTGCTGCTGCACACAGCACTGCGAGCAGGTCCTGGACTTGGTGTCTTCATTGTAGTTCACTTCAGTAGACAGTAATCAGGAGAACACATTGTAGTTCCTAAAGATGGCTGTAGAGGAGAAAACACCCTGTCCTTCTGTGCCTGGTATACCACTTCGTTTCCCGTGCTGTTTCCTTTGCAGTTCCTCCCTACCCCATCCCCCTCTTTCCCTTTGACAAGTGTCACTCTTTAAATTTCCTCTGTTGGTGTTTGTTTTTGTTTTAGGAGTTTCTTTCTGGTGATGCGTACTTGCTATTTGGGGAGAGGAAGACTGAAAGCAACTCTAATAATGATTTAATTTTAAATCACTATATGTTCGAACAGTCACCCAGTGTTACCATCGCTGTGCGATACTCACAATGGCCTGCAGGACCCTCTCCCGTAAACCATAGCCCTTCCATCGCAGTACCTTTTATGCTCAAGAAATATAGTTTGAAGACTTAAACATTATTTATATAAGCATTTGATAGTTTATTAAATTTTTTACACTGCTTGTGTCTTCTCCAAAAACCTTGAACTGCATTAAAAATTTTTTTTACCCAAAAAGACCATGCTAGTATGGGGTATAATGTATAGTTGGTTTTCTCCCCAAAATTGTTCTTTATGTGATATTTTCATTGCCTGAAAAGAATCAATAACAATATTTAAAAACTTTTCAAGAATGTATTTAGTATTGACTTAAATGTTTTAAAATCCATTTTGTGAACATTTTACTATTCCAGCATGCTAAGTGAGGTCACTTTCAGGTTCGGGTCTTTAGAGACTGTTAGCGGCAAGTCAGTTAGCCCCACATTAGTAATTTGCAGATTAACCTGCTGTTCTTGGTTCCATTAGCCCTTTATTTACAGCTTCCCTTTGAGGGCAGGGGGTGTAGTTCAGTTGGTAGACTATCTGACTAGCATACGTGAGCCCCTGATTTCAGCCCCCTGCATTGCATACACTAGACAGTGACACATACTATTTCCCGAACTCCAAAGACGACCAGTTCAAGTTCATCCTTGACTACACAGTGAGTTCGAGACTAGCCTGGGAGAGCCTTGTGCGTAAGACCTTATCTCAAAAAGTTAATCAAAACTACTAATCTCAATAGCACTAAACTTCATTTTCTTCAGCATAGTCTACATCAGAAAATATCAACCTTTATTATCAGAAAGAGCAAGCTGCAACTGATTGAATCCACTTGAAAGTGTTAGAGGAAGAATCGTATTTTCCTTTCTGCCAGCCACTGAGACAGGAAAGTCAGAGTCCAGCCAGGCACCAGATGGTGGGGCAGATCCCCTGAGCCAGGGACGGGCCTTCAGTCCTACTGCTTTGCACAGTCTGTGCAGAGAATGGGAATATTTGCTTGGCAGCACAGTGCTTAGTAGAGGGGAGCTGTGAGCACGGTTGCGCATTCATCACAGCTCTTACTTAGCGAGGAACTGTACTCTTGATAGAGTCTGGTGTTGTATCTTAATGACAGTGTTCACAGGTAAGGACGGATAGATTATTATAATAATGAAAATATCCAAAAATACATCCTTTTTTAAAAGCACAATTCAGGAAGTTTATAAACCTTGACTTTAGATTTCATTCCTTTGTTTACATTTTTCTTTGTTTTGTTTTGTTATTTTGAGACAAGATCTCACTATGTAGCTCTAGCTATCCTAGAACCCACTATGTAGACCTGGGTAGCCTGGTAGCTCACAGAAGTACTCTTGCCTCTGCCTTCCGAGTGCTGGGATTAAAGACACACATCGTTATGTCTAGTTTAACTTTAAATTTCTTTTCCATTTAATCAAACTTCCTCTCTGCCTAAACAGATAGCATATGATTCTATACATATATTTCTAAAATCTGTCCCAGCAAAGAAGTCCTACTCAATAGTTATACATTTCAGTAATTCAGAATGCTTTTTGCTTATATAACATACAGCAGTTTCTTTATTTAAAAACAAGGGTAGGAGAGAGAAAGAGTGTTAATATAGATTGAACTGGGGGTCTTGCAAATGTTATGCAGTGCTGTGCCACTGCGCCAAGTCCTGAACCCTACTTAACGTTTCAAACTTGGGTAGATGCATGATGTGTGCTTGAATAGTCAGACAAAGTTAATAATGGCCAGTAATGTACTGGTCAGTTTTGAGTACTCCGTATAGATTGATCGGCTCAGTTGTTGCTCATAAGAGGTACTCTGTTATCTCGTTCTACAGACCAGAACACTAAGGGACAGGTTAAAAACACCTGGCCGGCAGCATATAAACTGGGCGTGTATTTAGACAGTGCAGCTCCAGAGTTATGCTTCTGCTGCTGTGCTGTTCTGCGCTTCCAGCCTCGCATGCCAGGAAATCTGAACTGGCTCTAGCTGCTCATCCCTATAATCCTAGCATTTGGGAGGCTAAGCAGGACAGTGGGTTCAATGCCCGCTGAACTACATAGTGCAGCTACCTCAAGGAAAGGATGTTGCCTGGGAGAAAAGAGAAAAAAGGAGAGACGGGGGAGGGGGGTGAGGGAGAGTGGGCTCTACTTCACTTTTTAACTCTGTATGCCTCTGTTTCCTTCATATATAAAGCATTTCTTATAGCAGTGGTCTCATATTAAATAAAATACCTATAAGGGTTTGAATTCCTCATGTTAGAGTCTGTACATTTTGTTTTCAATTGGTAGAAAAGAGTAGTTGAGCAGCTGCGGAAGAACCTGATAGTCAAGCAAGAGCAGCCGGACAAGTTCCAGATACAGCCATTGCCACAGTCTGAAAATAAACTACAGACAGCACAGCAGCAACCACTACAGCCACTACAGCCACTGCAACAGCAGCAGCAGCAGCAGCAGCAGCAGCAGCAACAGCAACAACAGCAGCAGCAGCAGCAGCACGCCCAGCAGTCAGCAGCACCTCCCAGCCTGACTGCATCCCAGGTAACCGTGTGGGTGAAGCACCCCGGGCTGAGTTCTGGGGATTGGTTGGTTATTGGTGACATAGCACTGGCTCCTACGCCAGCTGTCCTAAATTCAACTAACACCAAACAAAGTTTTCTGGGTCAGTTAAATGCACTGGCAGAGCGAAAGAGCCTTCTAGGGAGCAAAAGTTAAATGACTGAGTTGGGAGTGTGGCTCATTCATGAAGCCATGGGTTTGATTCTCAGCACCACATAAAACCAGGTATGGTGGTTTATGCCTATGATCCCAGCACTCTGAGGTAGAGGCAGGGGGATCAGGAAGTCAGTCACTTTTGACTACATAGGCAGTTAAAGTTTGACGCCAGCATGGGCTTCATGAGATCTTATCTCAAATTAAAAAAAAAAAAGATTGAGGGAAAAAAAGCTAAATGATTTCCATTGGGAATGGAACTCAGCAATAGAGTGCTTACCAATCATGTCCAAACCTAGCAACACACATGAACACACTTATCTGTGCATACATGCATGCTAAATGATTTTCTACTTGTCTTCAACAACAAAGACAGATCACTGAGCACCCCGCTGAGTTAGAGTCTTACTGGAGACTTCTGGGTGTCTATTTGTATTTGTTTCCACAGTGATTCAACCTCTTCTGGAATTGTTTTTCTGAAGCTTGTAGCAGTTAGGCATGTAGCTGTCCCACTGTCACTTTTGGGACCATGTAAAAAGAATCATCCAAAAGAGTGATATGTTTTTATTATCCATAGAGATAACATGCTCACGTCAAGTCCACATTCTTGAGAATGTATGCGGGTTCTCCACTGGTGGAGATCTGGAATGAGGGTGCAGGTGAGACTTAGAGCTAAGTGGGGCTTAGTGTTCTAGCCTGATGCAACTGTGGAAATGTTTTACTGGAAGGGGCATTTGACCTAACACACTGAAAGGACATATTTGGAATTAACATTTGATTAAGAAAATTATTCAGACTTGACCTCTACAGACAGATATATATATTATGAATGTACTTTTTTTAAAGTACATTTTTTTAAGATGGGCCTGAGGAGGTGGCTCAGTTGGAAAAGTGCTTGCTGTATAAGCATGAAGAACTGAGTTCTACACCCAACACCTACATAAAAAAGAATAGTGCATCGTCATGTGTGTTTTTTTTTTTATTACCGGTGCTAGGGGAGCAGAGATAGGAGAATGGAGCTTGCTGGCCAGCCAGCCTAGCTGAATCTATAAGTTCAAGATTCCAGTGAGTGGTCCTGTCTCAAAACACAAGATGAGGGCTGGAGAGATGGCTCACCAGTTTACAGCATTTGGTGCTCTTGAAGAAGACCTGGGCTCAGTCCCCAGCACCCACATCAAGAGGCATGCAACAATTTTTAAGTCCAGTTCCAGGAAATCAAGTTCCTCCTTCTGGCTCTCCAGGCACCTGTAAGCATGGGGTACACACACACACCCAGTCCAGGCACCTGTAAGCATGGGGTACACACACACACCCAGTCCAGGCACCTGTAAGCATGGGGTACACACACACACCCAGTCCAGGCACCTGTAAGCATGGGGTACACACACAGACCCAGTCCAGGCACCTGTAAGCATGCGGTGCACACACACACACCCAGTCCAGGCACCTGTAAGCATGGAGTACACACACACACACACCCAGGCACACATGTGCATACACTAAATGAGTAAGTTTAAAAATAAAAGCAAAGTTGATGATAACTGAAGAACAATACCTGAAGTTGGCCTCTGGCCTCCACATGTCTGCACATCTGCACACACACAAATTTATCCAAATAAGTGGATAAATAAGTAAACACACCGTAATAAAAGAGGGGATGCAGATGCTTGGAAGTTAAGACTAGTCACTGATCTTACAGAGGAACCCAGTTTAATTCTCAGTGGTGCTGCCTGCCACCCATAACTCTAAGTAGCAGCAGATTAATGGTTTCTTCTGGCCTCTGTATGCACCAGGTATGCACGTGGTACACATATATGCCTACAGACAAAACATCATACACATAAAATAAGTCAGTTTTTTTTAGAAGTCTAGCTGGACATGGTGGCAAACATCTTTAATCCCAGCACTCTGGGAGGCAGAGGATGGAGGACCCTGTAAGTTCAAGACCAGTCTGTTCTACAAATTGAGTTCTAGGACAACCAGGCCTGCTACAAGAGAAACAGTGTTTGGAAAAACAAAGCAAAACAACAACAAAAAGATTCTAATGTGTTGGGGCTGTAGCTTAGTAATAGAGTACTTGTCTAGCATATTTCAGATCCTATGTTCCATCCTCAATATCTTAGTTAGGATGTCTATTGCTGTGAAGAGACACCATGGCCATGGCAACATTTATTGGGTGGTTTATAGTTTCAGAGGTTTATTTCATTGTCACTTTGGTGGGACATAGCAGCAGCTAAACAAACATGATGCTGGAGAAGGAGCTGAGAGTGGAAAGGAGCTACATCTTGATCCCACAGGCTGCAGGAAGTGGTCTGAGTGTCACAGTGAGTGAAGCTTGAGCATATATGAGGTCTCAAAGCCCACCTGCACAGTGGCACTCTTTCTCACCCAACGAAGCCACACCTCCTAATAGTGCCTCTCCCTATGAGATTATAGGTGCCAGTTGCACTTAAACTACCACACTCAGCATTACAAAAATAATAATGAATAAATCTTAAAATTTTTTAATTAAAGTAAAACAAAAAGAATTTTGCTATTAGTGTTACTGCTTGTATGTCTGCATGAACTTCTAACTTGTAGACTTCAAGTTTTGTCATAATTAAAGAACTTTATGGAAGTGTAATATCTGCTACCTTCTCTTCAAGATCATCAGGCTCGAACAGAATTAGCTAACCAGTTCCAAACACAACTTCCATTAAAATCATTGCCTTTGATTCTTCTCTTCTTCCTTTTGGGACAGCTGAGACATTTTTAGTATGTTTATATGTCAAAGTCCCCTTTTCATCTAAACCCTAGCACTCCAAGAGTTTGCTTCATGTTCCCTAATATTTGGAATAGAGTAGCAGATCAGAGTGAGAATTTAAATAGGTCGTGAATACATTCTTTAAGAAGCTATCACTTCTTTAAGAAGCTATCACTGGCCGGGCGGTGGTGGTGCATGCCTCTAATCCCAGCACTCGGAAGGCAGAGGCAGGTGGATCTCTGTGAGTTCGAGGCCAGCCTGGTCTACAAGAGCTAGTGCCAGGACAGGCTCCAAAGCTACAGAGAAACCCTGTCTCAAAAAAAAAAAAAAAAAAAAGAAGAAGAAGAAGAAGCTATCACTGAGACATTTGCACTACATCTTTGGCCTATGTGTTATGTAGAATTACATGGATGTTAGAATATATGGAATGAAATTAGCCACAATTAAATACATCTAAAGGAGAATAAAAATGCTTAGTTACAGTGTCAAGTAACTCATCAGGTTTAATGTTATAGAAGCATTGAATTAATGGTAAATATATAATTTAGGTCTATTTATTTGTGTTTTTATTCAGTATTTACTAGAATAATCAGTTTTGAGTTGATCCAGTATTAGTAATGATTTGCCTCAACTAGAGGTGTTTCACACAAAGCAACATGAGCACACAAACTGCTTTAAAATCTGTGTCATTGAGTTCTGCTGACCACAGCTTCATGTCCACAGCCTGTGGTACACCAGGATTGAAGGCCATCTGGTCCAGCTTGCTCACTTACCACTTCAAAAGCTCTTTGTATTCAAGCATTTTAAACTGAAAGATGAGGCTGTTAGTATAGTGTGTTTAAAACTCTGCAAGGACTGGCTTTGTGAGCGAGCCTGTGCTGCTACATTCTCTAGCACTTCAAGTGTGATAAAATGGCCTTTGGCTGTTGTTTGGCTTTCAATGCTGACTTGCTGTGCAGGTGCCATTCCACAGTGAGAAGGCAATGGCAGATGGCATAAGCTGTCCATGTTGATTTGGGGGCTTTTAATTGTAGGATTGCTGATTAAATTGTGAGATGGATGAAACCACATTATTATGTTTTGTTGTTGTTGTTGTTGTTGTTGAAAGGAGATTTTAAAGGCTGAATGTGTGTGCATGCACGCACATGTCAGGCAGAAAAGGTAAGTAACTACACATAGTACCCGGATACATGGTGCTCATAGGGCATGGGGGTGAAATTCCTTCAGGGAGGTTTTCCGGGGTGTGGAGGAGAAGGGGCTCCCAGTGACTCCTGCAGAGCTGGGCATGCTCTCACCCCACTGTCCAGCTGCTAGTTTCTTGCCACATGTGGCTTAGAAAAATATCATGAGTACACGTGCAGGACTAACCTTTTAATTTTTTAATTAAAGTTTATGAAAGGCCAGGTGTCGCTAGTGGCTGCCAAGCTATAGAGTATATTTTAGAAGGGGAAATTAAAGCGGAATAAATATTAGAACCGGTGAGTTGGAGATGAATGTCTGCATCTTGAGTGACTAGTAGTAGTGCCAGGTAGATAGATGTGTGCGCCATGTAACACATATCTTTAACAGAATTGTAATTGTTCTAGTAAAAAGTTAGGCAAATTGAGCTTCAGCGCTTCGGAAATAGCCTAGAAGCATCAGTCAAGTCCTTACTAAAGCTCCTCCTCTGTTTCCCAAGGCCTTGGAAACCCAGGTGTTTGTTCCCACCTTGTTGGTTTCCCTCCCTCTCTGATCACTTCCACATCAGCTCTCCAGAGGGAAGACTAGGTAGTGGCACAGCCCCCTTTGGAATAGAGAACTGGTATTTCCTATGCTCGTTGACAGCATCATTATCTGTAACTTGGGGTTTACTACATCCAAGGCAGCAGTTATGCTGGTCCTCCTGTGAGTTTCCCTTCCACTTTTCCAGGGACCCTTTGCTCTGTGTCACAGGTGGCAAATAGCCAGACTGGTGAGGTTAGCAATCAGGGACAGAGACAACGTTCAGCTTAGATGTGAATTAACTGACTGCATCAGTTAGAAAACCCAGAAGCTTTAAGTGCACTCGTGTTCTGTACCTGTAGATGTGCGCTGTCCTTTCCTTAGAACTTTCCTGTTTACAAGTGACCCTAACTTGAAAACTAGAGATTGTCTTTCTCTATAGTAAGAAGCATATTCTACATCACAAATGTTCATTTTATAGACAAACTTGGTTGCTTTGTTTCCTCTGGGAGTTCAGAAGCATATTGTTCAGTGGGATCACATTTCAGTGTCCTAATGTCTGTTCTCCGTGTCTCCTAGAAGACTGTAACTACAGCTTCTATGATTACCACAAAGACACTACCTCTCGTCTTGAAAGCAGCAACTGCGACCATGCCTGCCTCTGTTGTGGGCCAGAGACCTACCATTGCTATGGTGACCGCCATCAACAGTCAGAAAGCTGTGCTCAGCACTGATGTGCAGAACACACCAGTCAACCTCCAGACGTCTAGTAAGGTCACTGGGCCTGGGGCAGAGGCTGTCCAAATTGTGGCAAAAAACACAGTCACTCTGGTAAGCCAGTAGCTGCTACTCAGTGTGTTCACATGAGGTTCAGGTTGTGCATTGTAGAATGTTTCCATTTTAAGCTCCTACTGGTTTCTGAGCTCCTATCATTTTCCTAGCAAAGCGAACTCCGCTATTGGCCTGTCAGTTAACTACAGAGGAGTCCTGACATCAGGAACCAGATTTAGTACATTGTCTGAGGTCAAAGTAGGACTTGGTTTCGGAGGAAAACTGCCCTTCACAAAGACACACACTGTTTCATTCTCTTTCCCTCCATTCTGTCCACTGCCACCTCCCCTAACTCCGTGGATTCTGAGTGCTGAAAGCCCCTGTGCTTTATTTTGCTTTGAGGAAAACCCTGTTACATTCTTTCAGTTCATTATCACTCTAATTTGAATGCAGCCCCTGAAGTACTTAAGGTTGGTTGGGGCACACTTTAAAAATTTTAAAGAAATTCAGAGGTTAATGTGCCAACGGCCAAGTGCTGCCAGAGGGAGGATGCCCTGGAGGGAACACCTGAACAAGACTGTCCATGAGATGTCCAGGGTCGAGATGTATAGGCACTGTTGTTCTTGGAAGTTTATGAGAACCAGATCCAGACTGTGACACTCAGTTATATTCTTCCCATGACAAAGCTCTTGGTGACTTTTAGAATATTGGCCAATAATGAGTAAAAGTAGCAATGAAGTGAAGCTTTGTCATTTACTCAGGAGTCCTTGGAAATGCTGTCCTGTTGCTCAGCCAGATGCTAGGGTCAGGAGTTTTCCGTAGGAAGAAAGCCGTTCAGCCGTTCTCTGTTGGGTGAAGCTTAAATCTTGCAGGGTTGGGGGGTGGGGTCCAGACTCTTAAAATATCTAAGTTTAAGAGAGTTCATGAGTGTCAGAGAAAATTGTCCAGGTTTGCTGTGTCTACTTTGTTCTACATAAGGCTGTGAGAGACAGTGTGCAGGGGGAAAGAACAAGCTTCTAAAGCAGTGTTAATTCGCATAGTGAGCTGCATGGCAATATGGTGGGGATGCTGTGTGGTGTGGGGAGCAGGCACCTGTGTCTTTTGAATGTCTGCCTCTAACACTGAATGTGACTGCCCCTCAGGTTTATTTATCTTTCCTCTTTTTGTTTGCTTGTTTTAAACAGGTTCAAGCAACACCTCCTCAGCCCATCAAAGTACCACAGTTTATCCCACCTCCTAGGCTCACTCCACGTCCAAACTTCCTCCCACAGGTGAGAAACCAGTGGAGAGCAATGGTGGGTAAGGTGGCATGCAGGCCTCGTGCGCCTGCCCTTGCGGAAAAAGTGAAGCAGAACTAAGTGTAAAGCGCCAAGAGAATGCCGTCATGACACCACTAACTCCTCGGAATACGTTCAGAACTGTTCTGGCTCTAGGGAACAGAGATGTACACCACTTTCGATGTCTTTTCCCTCTGCTAAAAGGAGTAGAAACGGCCAAACAAACCCCTGTGACCTTGCTTACGGAGGATGGAGTTCGGGTCTGCATCGTGCTTTTCTGCCCACGCCTAAGCAGTTGTGTTGCTTCTCACCCCTGACAGTTCTCCCAGCACTAGACCAGCCCTGGTGGTCTCCAGGTGGTTCCTCCAATACAAAGACCAAGAGTTATTCTCTGAGGTGCAGCTTTCTAGAAAAGAAGAGAACGGAATCTGTGAGGAATCGTACAGTGCTAGCATGAGAGAAGGCCATCCTGTTATTTTCCAGATAGATCTTTAATAAGTCCTGTGGGTAGCAAAACATTGTACTAAGCTTTTGTTCCCTGGATATGCTGATTTTCAAGATGCAGCTCTCAGCTGTCCGGGAGCATCATCAAAGGTACCTATAGGGATTAAAGTGTCCATAGGGAAGCATGATAGGTCAAAGGGACTCTCACCATTCTGGACTGATAGAGAAGGTCTGTTCATGATTTCCTTGAAGAATATGTTCAGTGGGAGGCCTAAATTTTGATGAAGAAATTTAAAAACTGCATGGGTGAAGTGGGGACAAACGTCCGAGAGGACAGTATAACTGTGTGTGCAGTGGACACACGTCTGAGAGGACAGTGTAAACTGTGTGTGTGCAGTGGACACACGTCTGAGAGGACAGTGTAAACTGTGTGTGTGCAGTGGACACACGTCTGAGAGGACAGTGTAAACTGTGTGTGTGCAGTGGGGACACACACGTCTGAGAGGACTGTGTAAACTGTGTGTGCAGTGGACACACGTCTGAGAGGACAGTGTAAACTGTGTGTGCAGTGGACACACGTCTGAGAGGACAGTGTAAACTGTGTGTGTGCAGTGGACACACGTCTGAGAGGACAGTGTAAACTGTGTGTGTGCAGTGGACACACGTCTGAGAGGACAGTGTAAACTGTGTGTGTGCAGTGGGGACACACGTCTGAGAGGACAGTGTAAACTGTGTGTGTGCAGTGGACACACGTCTGAGAGGACAGTGTAAACTGTGTGTGTGCAGTGGGGACACACGTCTGAGAGGACAGTGTAAACTGTGTGTGTGCAGTGGACACACGTCTGAGAGGACAGTGTAAATTGTGTGTGCTGTAGGGACACACGTCTGAGAGGACAGTGTAAATTGTGTGTGCTGTAGGGACACACGTGTGTTTGAGGAACCAAGGAGATTGCTGTGGCTGTGCAGAGCCCATGAAGCTGACCTGGTCAGACTTCAAGAAAGAGACTAGACAAGTGTACTGGGAAGAGTCTGGGGCCCTTGCCACTGCGCTGAGATATGGGCTGTATCCTAGCAGCAGTGTAAATCAGTGGAAGGATCTTTGGGCAAGTACATGACATGATCATACTCAGTGTTTTAGAAATTCCTTCTTTTGCTATGCAAACTACAGGTTGGATGTACTTAAGAGTGGATAGAAAGAGTAGTCAGGACCTTAGCGGAAATGATATGAAGCCTGCTGTCATCTAGACACTTCATACAGCTATTTTCATTCCCACAGTAGCCCTATGAAAGATTTCAATAAAGAATTAAAGGTTTCGTCCATGTTTCTCTTGTGGGGCAGATTTCATGAAGCTTTTATGTTTTAGGGACATATATCCACAGGTGTTTATAACAATGTTAAATGCAGTTCTTACTACATCTCAGTAGCAGCCATCACAGGATTGACTTAGAAGACTGTCACGAGCCACATCTGGCACCAGTCTGCTTACCTCCAGTAATGCAGTATTATTCTCTCTCTCATAGGTCCGACCCAAGCCTGTGGCCCAGAATAACATTCCTATTGCTCCAGCGCCTCCTCCCATGCTTGCAGCTCCTCAGCTTATCCAGAGGCCTGTCATGCTGACCAAGTTTACACCCACAACCCTCCCCACATCCCAGAATTCCATCCACCCCGTTCGTGTCGTCAATGGACAGACCGCAACCATAGCCAAAACGTTCCCCATGGCCCAGCTCACCAGCATTGTGATAGCTACTCCAGGGACCAGACTCGCTGGACCTCAGACTGTACAGCTTAGCAAACCAAGCCTTGAGAAGCAGGTATGGGCAGAGTGCTTAAGTGCCTGCTGTGGCAGTGGCCCTGGCTTTGAAGCAGTAGCTGCTAAACACTTTCTAAGTATGCCTTGTCAGGGGTTCTTCATCTCGGCACCAAGTCAACATCCTATTGCTTTGTTGTATGATAATTCATTCACATCCAAGAGCCGTTTCTCCAGAAGAAAGTTGGGTTGCTTTCCCAGGGTTGCTGGCTTCAGAGTCCTGTGTGAGTGAGCTCCCCCTGCTGGCTGCTGCAGAAATTCGCAGTGAGGAAGCCTGTCTCCCACTCCCCACCCCAATCCTACACCTGAAACAGAAAGCACGTCTTGGCTTCACCTGGGAAGAACCCAGGTGTGGACCTGACTGTGGAGGTCAGTCAGGGACAGTAAGCAGAGCAGGGAAGGACTTCATCTCGGGGACTTCTGCCATCATCACAGATTTTCACTCTCCAGAGCTCACCCTCCAAGCTCTAGACTAGATGTAGCAGACATTGGAGCCCTGCATTGACAGTTTCTAAAGTCAGATTCTTCTCATACTTGAGTGAGACTAGAGTAAAGCCAGTAAAGGTATAACCGCAGAGAGGGGGTCTCCAGACAGTCACTTCACCATCTGGAGAAAGACCAGTGACGAGAAGGAGTCCTTCAGACAAAGGCAAGTTTTCAAGAAAGTTGCTTTAACTAATCACTGGCCTGCCCAGCATGGTGGGCATATTTGTAAGCAAAATACCAGGAGCCTGAGGCAGGAAGATAGTCACGACTTGGAGCCAGTCTGAGCCAGGACCACCCTACTCAGCTTTAGACGTCCAAGCTCCTTGAAGTAACTCACTGTGCTGTCACTTTCTGTCCCTAAATCTCACTTTTCTTTGGGAAGAAAAAGCTTTTTTTGTCATTTTCATTTTACTTTTTCATTTCTTTTTCTGATCATAGAGATAATATATGTGATTTTAAGAAATACTAACATCACAGAAATATAAATTGTAGGATAGTCTGTCCTCCTAATTTATTTATTCCTGAAATTTTAACAAAAATTTACCTTTAGTACTTATTATTAACCCTTTCAATTATGTGCCTACCTCAAAAAGTCATTATCTTGGTCTGTTTCTATTTGCTCAGACTTGACTTCCCATTTATGTGAAAATAGTCTCTAGCTGGGTAGTGGTGATGCATGCCTTTGATCCCGGTATTCAGGATGCAGAGGCAGGTGGATCTCTCTGAGTTCAAGGCCAGCCTAGTCTACAGAATGAGATCCAGGACAGGCTCCAAAGCTGCATAGAGAAACTCTATCTCAAAAAACAAACAAACAAAAAAGTCTCTGGTGGATCTCAGCCTTCTGCCTGATTGGGTAAGCAACCATGGTTCAGAAAGGCTGGCCCCTGGTGGGTGTAGCTCAGGGAATGCTGCTTTGACCTTCTTGGACTCAGAGTTGAATCAAGAAACACACAAGATGGCTCATCACCATTCCTGCAGAGTTGCCCAAACACCAGCAAGTGCTTCGAGGGGCTTGCTAGGATTTTTTTTTTTTTGAGGGGGGGAGTCAAGACAGGGTTTCTCTGTAGCTTTGGGGCCTTTCCTGAAACTCAATCTGTAGACTAGGCTGACCTCGAACTCACAGAGATCCACCTGCCTCTGCATCCTGAATGCTGGGATTAGAGGTGTGTGCCAGTACCACTGAACTAAATTATTAGCACCAACTTTAGATCAGAGGTTTTGAGACTATTTGACAGCAGTCCTTCAGTGCTCAAGACTTAGGGGACAAGATCTCGAGGGCTGTGCTGACCCTCGGAAGTGCTGGTGGGGAGTGAGGCTGAAGAGATGGCTCAGTGGTTAAGAGCACTGACTGCTCTACCAGAGGACCTGGGTTCGGTTCCCAGCACCCACATGGCAGCTCATAGCTGTCTGTAACTCGAATTCCAGGGAACCCAACACCCATGATAAAACACCAATGCACATAACCCTGGGGCCTGAGTGCCTCAGAAAGTGGTGTCAGGTGCCACTTCCCATCGCTTCTCTATCACTTCTGGTAAATAAAGAAAACTATTTTCATTTTCATTTATTTTTCTGATTATACAGATATTACATGTGATTTTAAAATGTAGACATCACAGAAATATAAGATATATAAGATGCTGTCCCCATAACCTATGCACTTTCTGTAATTTTACTCTAACTTTACCACCAGCAGTTTATTGCTATTAGCATTTTCTATTATGTGCCTCTAGATAGTTTCTGTTTACATACTAACAGAATTTTAAAGCACACCATGTATTTAACCCAGTCTTCTCTAGACTTTAGGCATCTTTTTATGTCTTGCACTGTCAAGGTGACGATGTTTTGCGGTTTGATTTGAATAGCATAGAAGTTCTAAGTTGAAAGCTTGTATGTCCTGGCATCCTCTCTGCCAGAATATAGGAATCCGGTCGTTGCTAGTTAAGTTGGCAGGCCATCTGGCCTAGCAGCCCTCAGATTAGCCCGGTTCTTGGGATTCCCTTCTGTGGAGCTTCTGCTGAGCTTCTCGTAGGTGAGCTAACATAGGAGACAGGTAGTCACCTGTTCAGAGATTTACTAAGCCTATGTGTACAGGGTTCTCAAGGCTCACTAGGTTTGCTGTTTCTTCAGTTAACCTTCTTCACTTCTTGAAAACATGTTAGTGAGCACTAGGATGTAGCCCAGTGATGGAGCTCCGGCCTGGTATGCACAAGGACCTGGGTTTCATCCCTCAAACAAACAACAAACAGACAAGTGCCAGCTGCTTTGCTCCTCATGCTGTTTGTATATAAAGATGAAGAGGAGAAAATCAAAGCCCATCAACGCGGAGCTCAGTCTCGGGCATGTGCAGCAGTCCTGAGGCTTTGCCCCCGGGAAGGAAGCATCCAGGCTGTGTTGACCCCCAGCCTCTCTCTCTCTTTGACGAAGGAAAGAAGGCAGTAGAGTTATACTAGCAATGGGTTCTTCTTACCCAGCCTCACTAGAGACCCTCTGGTGTCTGCTTTACTGTGGTTCTGAGAGAGGAGAGGAGGAGCTTACAGAGCCTGAGTGCTAACGACACCGTGGGCTTTGGTTCTAGCCCACCGCGGTTAAGCGAGACATACAAAAGTCCAGGTCCACAACCTGCTCTCCCTGGTACATGTTGAGTCATGTATGCAGTATGCTGCAATCTCAGGCTAACGTTACATAGCAGAGTTTTAAAACCTTCAGCAAGTGGTCATGTTGCCACTAGTTGAGAGTCTTGCTCTGAGACTGGTGGCTGTCGAAGGTTGAGGTGACTGCTTCGTCAGTCACACTTCCTTTATGAGGGATTTCTGTGTAGTGTGTGATTAGTTTGGTGGCACCTTTTTCTTGACAGGGCTTCTTCAAAGAAACAGAATGAATCTAATATTCTCTAGATAAGATTCCATCTCAGAAAGCGTTCACTTTTCTCGTCATGGGGAACAGCCCCTCTCCTATTAGAGCCTAATCATCACGGGATGAGTTCGGCGCCACCACAGCCCCGTGCTCTGCTTCTGACTCCAGTACCTGCTGCTTCCGCCATCTTTGATTGCTGTTGCATTAGTGTTGCTGTGTTTATTTAAGCTTTACTGTCTCATGTTTGGTCAGCTTGGGTAAGGTATTTCTAGAGATTTGTCCATTTCTTTTATGTTACATGTTTGTCATACAATTATCTGAAGTATTCTCTTAAACACCTTATTTTATTACTGTAAGTAAGATTAAGAATGACACTTTCCTGCTTTTTCATTATTTCATCCTTATCCTTGGTCTCTAGAAGTTTATAACTTTGGTCAGTGTTTTTTTCCCAAAGGACCACGTTTGAGTTTTTTGTTTTATTTGTTTTGAGACAAAGTCTCCCTATGTAACTCTGGCTTGCCTTGTACTCACAGATTCCCCCTGCCCCTGCCCCTGCCCCTGCCTCTGCACCTGTCCCTGCTATATTAAAAGCATGTAGGGATAGTTATATTACACCAAACAAAGTCAACTCTAAGTTAGAAACACAAAAGGCATAGATGTTTCTTGTGTCAAAATACAGGTATAAAAGAATTGATCTGGCCGGGCGGTGGTGGCGCACGCCTTTAATCCCAGCACTCGGGAGGCAGAGGCAGGCAGATCTCTGTGAGTTCGAGGCCAGCCTGGTCTACAAGAGCTAGTTCCAGGACAGGCTCCATAGCCACAGAGAAACCCTGTCTCGAAAAAACAAAAAACAAAAAAACAAAACAAAACAAAACAAAAAAGAATTGATCTGAAAAGGCGGTATAAGAATTTTAATATATGCACCTATCAAAAAAGTCCCAAGATTTATGAAGTAAATACTGATGGAGTTGAAGAGACAGACTGTCCTACACCAGTGGCTGAAAGTATTACTTCCCCGGTTTAAATAATGGCTCCAGCACGTAGAGGAAAACATGTGTAAATAAGGGAACTGAACAGACTGTACACCGATTAGCCCTAAAACATACAAAACCCTTTGTACCTTCCACTCTGAAGTGAGTCTCTCGCAGGAACTTAACTTATCCATCCTGCTACTCTCTGCCTTTCAGTTTCAGTGGTCAGCAGTGAGGAGATACTCGGCTGTGTTGCTGTCTGCATACCTTACGCCTTCTTCTTCCCTTGTTCCTTCAGTACTGCCCTTCTTTGTGTTTTTGTTTTTCCTAGTGTACATTTTCATGTCTTCATCATATCCTTCTCTTCCATGTATATTTCATTTTCTTAGTAGTTACCATGGAGATTACAGTTAGCTTTAACAATCTCATTTTAATTGATCCCAGTTCAGTTCAAAATTTCTGCTCCTGTGCAATTCTGTCCTGCTGTGCATGTTATATCATAATTATATCTTTATAGTGTGTGTTCGCTAATTCAGATTTAACTGTTGTCTCATGCAGTAATCTTTTATATAGGAGCAGAGTGAGCAGTTACTAATCTAAACTGCTGTGATGTGGCCTGTGTAGTGCCTTGACTGGAGTTCTCTTTGTGGCTCAAGTAATGGTCTGCTGTCTGTCATTTCTTTAAGGCAAGTGTGCAGGCAGTGCTTTCGTGTCTGAATCTCTTAATTTATCCTTCATTCTTTCAGAATAGTTTTAGCACAATATAGGATTGTTAGGTGATGGCTTTGATTTTTCTGGGTTTGTTTGTTTTACCCATCCCTTTAGGAATGTTGTTCCTCTGCCTTCTGCTTAGCTAAATAGTTTGGGCTCCAGGTCTCTTACAAGTTTGTAGTCAAAGTAGTTGAGCAGAGCTGCAGTTGTCACCAGGCCTAACTAGAGTTGGGTAGTTTATGTCTAAGCTCAGTCAAGTGACTTGTGGCCTCACTTTTTGCCGGTTGTGGGCAGGAGACTATTTCATCTGGCCTTAGTATCTCTGTAGTTCTGGGCATGTGACAGCCTTCTCCTAGAGCAAGAGGTCCTTGAGAGAAAGTACCCCACCCCAAATGTTTTGATTGTTTTCTTTTTGTTTGGATTTTTTTTTAATGTTCTTTTTCCAACACTCAGTATGTTGTTCTTTCCAGAGAGAGAGAGAGAGAGAGAGAGAGAGAGAGAGAGAGAGAGAGAGAAATGTGGGTGTGGTAATCTTCGGTGCAGAGGGACTTGCCTCTCCCAGGAGCAGTGCTACCAAGTGTTTGTTCAACCATGGAAATATGAGAGGGGCTCTCAGGAAACTGTTTCACGCAGGAATGGAACACAAGCCCTGTGGTTGACCTTCATTCCTCTGTCCTTTCACGTTCAAGTCACAAAAATAAGCCAATTCTGATTACCCCGAACCTTAGTAATATCACTATGAATGGCGTTCCAATTAAAGGTTTCCTTTATGGAGGAAATGGGTCCTTTTGGGACTAAATTAAAAGCTATGTTTGTAAGGAAGGAGAAGGGGATTGAGACAGAGATTGAAATGTGATTGACTCTCCTGGAGGCCAGTGCTGTATTGATACAAGTATGGCGTGTCGTACTGGCTCAAAGGACGACAGTAACAAGGGGTGTGCAGCAGCCTCCGCTCACATGGCATATAATACAGATGGAGACGTATGGCAGGACTCCGATGAGAGCAGTAAAGGCGGCAGCTGGGCCCTAGGATAGTGGCTGTCCTCATATTGATAAGCAGGTCTTACATTTGCCTATGTAACAGCATGCAAAGCCAGAGGCAAAGTATGGGAATAGCCAGAGAAAAAAGTAAAACTTTTTTCAGATCTCGTACATTATTTTTCATCATTATGGTTTTCAAGAACTTTTGATGTCTTTTTTTATGGGTCTAAAAGTCTTGCACTCAGCTCCTGTCTGTCAATAGTCAGATTTTGTTCTAATTACTTAATCACTTGTTGTTACCTCACAAAATACCATTGCACCTATAATTTTCATTAGTTTTTTAAAAGTAAGTTTATGTTTATGGTTTTATGTCTTCTGTTCTGAAACGATTTTATTTCTACAGAATGTATAAAAGAGCTAGCCATTGCTCATAGTAAAAACAGTCATGCAGGACTGCCCGGTGATAGCTCCCATTTGTGTCCTCAGATTGTAATGTACTGGTATTTGTGTGTTTCCATAAATGCGTCTAGAAGGAGTTGGAAGGGTCAGAATGTCAGCCTCTTGCAAGTCAGTTTTTAGTGCCCCAGGTAACGGTAGTTCAGAAGAAAACCTTGGGATAGACTGTATATCTTAAGCACGGGGACAGAGCTTAGCCCTTATGTAGCGATGATGGAATGTTTCTGGGAACCTCCACATCCCACAGCCAAGGAAAATAACCTATACTTCAGTTTCTCTTTGCCTTTAAAAAATATTTCTAATCAGCTTTTAATTTTATATGTTTGAATATTTTGCCTGAACTTATGTCTGAACACCATGTGTGTGTCTGATGCCCAAGCAGATCAAAAGAGGGCCCAGGGATTAGAGTTACAGATGGTTATGAACTGCCATGTAGGTGCTGAGAACTGAACCCAGATCCACTGCAAGAGAAGCCAATGTTTTTGGCCTCTGAGCCCTTGTTCGCCTTCTTTCAAAGCATCATGTTTCCTGGGCGTTGCGTGTGCTGTGGTGCACATGTGGAGGTCAAGAGACACTAAGGGAAGTTAGTTGTCCTTTTCTGCCAGGTGGATTTTGGGGACCAAACTTCATGTTACTGGCTTGGCAACAGGTGCTCCACCTGCTGGCACTTCATCCTTATATGCAGGAACTGTACCTTTATCTGATAGTATTTATAGGTTCGTATTACTCAGGCATGCAGTCCAGTGTCTCCAGCTGACTTTCACAAATACATCATATGAACTTGTCTGGTAATGTTTCAAATTTGAGTACACTATTTTTTCCTGACTATAGTTCAACTATTTCCCATTCTTTTAATAAAACATTAATTCTGAATTTTTGCTTAATTGTTCTCTCCTAGACAGTTAAATCCCACCCAGACACAGAGGAGAAGCAAGCAGAGAGCCGTACCGTCACTCCACCTGCTGCACCAAAACCAAAACGAGAAGAGAACCCTCAGGTAGGGCCGCCCTGCACACCTTATGTGCCCCAGGGCTGTTGATTCAGCCCCCTCAGTGTTCCTTTTATTCAGCAGTGTGGTGACCAGGTCAGGTCAACCTGGGGCAGATTTTTTAGCACAAAGTCCTGAGGGCCCAAGTACAGGTGCTGAAAGGAGGAGTTCTAACATGATGTTTTCATATAAACCCTGTAAACTTGAAACAGAAATTAAAGATGAACTTCCCAGGGTCCTGCAGCATTCCTAAGGAAGGCTAGGCTTGTCTCAGACAACGTGTGTAAGCAGCTGAGGGGTTACATTGTGGGCTGCCATCAGGTGCTCAGTTTATTACATTAGAGTAACAGATTCCAAACACTGAGCATGAAAGTGGGTTGGCAGAGGTAATATTCACACTATGACAGAGCCCAGCAAAAGTGACGAACTGTGTGCCCATGGACGAGAGGGTGTTCTCCTTGACACAAATGCAGGTGTGGTTACGATGGAGGGTGTCATAGAGAAGCCATACCTGATGGTGGCATGAGGATGATGGCATTGTGCCTTTTTTTTTTTCTTTAAACGAACAAAGGAAAGATCAGCTGAGCGGGAATGGAGCACACGTTTAATCCCAGTGCTCAGGAGGCAAAGACAGGCAGATCTATAGAATGAGTTCCGGGACATCAGGGCTACACAGAAAAACCCTGTCTTGGAAAAAAACAAAAAAATACAAAGGAAAGATCTATTAAACCAGCCCAGTTTTTTTTTAAAACTAATATCAAATGTTCTTCTTCCTGAGGTGAAATCAGTTGTATTTTTTAAAGGGCTGGAACTTGAACCAAAAAGAAGCACTTGTTACAAAAATTAATGAAAAACTTATAGCTCATTCACAAAAAATGCTTGAGGTCTTTAAAAGCCATGAGTAGACAGTGAAGACATACTTTTCAGATCACAGCCAACCAGAGCAAAGTATACCATTCTCTTTCCAGTCTAAAGATCTTCATTCTACCTCAAGGTACAGCTGCAGGGAGACCGCCCCATGATATTTAGCTTTCATCTTTAACTGAAAACATTAACTGGTGTTCCTACATCCCAGTGAAGAGTGCATGGCCCTCTGCATCCATCTCCACTATGGGTACTCTTTAAGAAGATTCTCTGGGCAAGAGCCAGATAGCAGTCAGTCCAGATGCTGATGTGTGACTTCGCCAAAGTGGGAAGTGTTGGCCCTTATCAGAACAGAAGGCCTCTGTGGTGGCAGCTTTCCTGCTCTCTGAGATCCCACACTGAAATAGATTCTTTTGTTTCTCTGCCACAGAAACTTGCCTTCATGGTGTCTCTAGGGTTGGTAACACATGACCATCTAGAAGGTAAGAGAAGATATTCTCCACATGTCTTTTTCCTGGCTTTGTTCCTAAAAGTGATGTTTGCGTGAATTCCTAGAACACAAATAGAGTATTAGTCAACCAGTATGGACTGGATTTCCATACTGTCTAGGCCCCCCTCTTCCTGGTGCCATTCACACTCCTGTCCTGGGAAGCTCCCCAGCTTCCTGAATGAAGGTGGCTTCTGCTTTTGTCTCAGCGCAGTAGCAAGTGCTCCTCTGCTTCCCAGCGCTGTCCATCAGGACCCGAGGGCAGTGACAAGGCTCTGTGACCCTTGTTATTTAGTTCGGGGTGGTGAACTTCGATTGGTAGTCTGTAGATGCAGCTCACACTTACCTGTGTGCACAGCAGTCTAAAACTCAGTGAGAATGGCTGTCTGCAAATGTGGCCCAGCTGTGCTCTGAAGGGCCCTGGCCTTCCCTGCTGAGAGGCTCAAGCAGTGTGCCTGCTCCAGTGGGGGCCTTGGTATAACAAATCCTTGCCCTGCTCCTTCTTGGTTGCAGGAAACCCAGCACATTAAACGGTGAACTGTTCCTTAGCTTCTTTGTTCCTATCTTCTAACTGAAGCCTTTTCTTCCCAAGAAATCCAAAGCAAGAGGCAGGAGCGAAAGAGAAGAACAACAGCAAACCCAGTGTACAGCGGGGCCGTCTTTGAGCCAGAGGTACTCCAGCCAGCACTGGCTTCCTCATGCTCTGGCTTCATCTGTGACTTAGCCCCTCCCACTGAGAGCCTGCTAAGAGCAGCAGGGCTGTACTCAGCTCCTTCAGCTTTGCCAAGCGATAGATAGGCTTTTCTCTGCTCTTAACACCACTGCGTTATCCATCACTGCTTGCCTCTTAAGGTTTTGTTTTGCTAAGTGTGAGTAGTACAATCCTGTGTTTTTGTTCATCCCGACTTGACTACACTGTCATGGAGCAGAGACGGGCCCCTTTGTCGTATTCTCTCAGAGTCAAATACATATAATAAAACACATTAGCGCTGAGACCGTGGTATGATTGGCACAGACTAGTTAGCATGTGGTAGACATGTTTGTGGTGTTCTTGATAGCCATGGTATTCAATAGTCTCCTCTCCCTCTTAACTCCCTCAAGCGTAAGAAGAGCGCAGTCACTTACCTTAACAGCACAATGCATCCTGGGACGCGGAAGAGAGGTGAGTTCCTTTTAAAAACCTATCTTGCTTCTGCCTCTGCTTTCTATGTTGTTTTCTTTTTCTCCTACCTTCCTCTTTTCCATTGTCTTAGAATCTAGCTCCTCTAGCCTTGAAAATAGTTTTGTTGTTTCCTGAGAACATGGAGGAAAAGAGAGATCTCTTAGTGCTCTGAGCACAGGGCTAAAAACTGACTTTCCATGTCTTGGCTAAGCTAGTTCAGAATGGCTTAATGCAGCCTTTCTGCCCCAGCATAGTAGGCCGTCCATGAACAGCTCAGTGATCAAAACACCTGCTGCCGCCTAGGCGTCAGTGAGCGTAGAACAGGACTGAGTGTCTGTGATCTGCAGAGAACTTAGAATCTTCTATCATGAGCATCTCCAGCTAAGGAAGAAAAATATGCTGGGAAAATTCCCATCTTCCAGCCCAAAACAGCAGCAACTCCCATCACACGGGTCTAAATAGGTCTTCATAACTCGGGCTTTGACTCATAAACAAGGTACTGAAATCACCCTCTGATGTTAGTAATATATCCCAAGATCCCTTTCTCCATGTGGTAATGTGCCCCTGAGTTGCAGTTACAGGCTGGAAAGGTTGCCGAGTGAGTGATCTTTGAGCAAACACACAGACTCTCAGAGCCTTTGGAGACCGGAGGTCACCCTGACCTTTGTCTGCTGTGGACAGAGCTACCAATGTGCCATTATATTGCTGAGGCACAGCCAGCCTCAGTGACATGTGCAATCTTTCATCATTCCTGTCCTGCAAGTAACCAACCCATCTAGATGGGAAACCCTTAAGTTACTGCTTTGTACTGGCTCCTGGGCCACAGTCATAGTTACTTTTTGACTTTGTGGTCAGCTGTTTTTTAGTGACCACACAGTTCTCAGATAAGAGGTCCCCAGCCAGTGCCCTCAATTAATTGTCCTGCTGGGAGGTAGTATCTGCTTAGAGAAGAGGGGTTAAATGAGCCAGAAAGATCAGAGGCTAAAGCCTGCATTCGCGGTGCTTTGAACATATCTTGTATGGATAAGCAAAGAGGATTTGTTGTCAGTTTGCTTCCCACAGCACTAGGCTCTTTAGGAAAAGACCAGTCAAATCTGTCTTTGTAACACACGCTCTGTCTGCCTGACACAGGCAGCACTTCTGTGGCGTCTGCACGACCCTGACATAAGCCTTCACCAGTGCTTGTAGGCAGACGAGTGCCTTTTCCTGACTTTGGTGGGTTGGTTTGTACTCAGGATCACTGGCAGCTCAGGAGACACGGGCCTCGATGTAGGTGCGTGGTGAGAGGGACCACCCTAGACTGCCCAGGGCCCTGGGCTCTGCTTTTTTAGACTGCTTGTAGATTGCTCCCGACTGGACCTTTCACAAAAATGCCCTGTTCTGTTCTCTAACATGCAGTCCTTGCATGTTGATGGTGTGGGGCCGCAAGACTGATACCCGAGGCTGGGGACCTGTGGATTCACTGTCCTCTTACACTCCAGCAAGACTGACACCCGAGGCTGGGGACCTGTGGATTCACTGTCCTCTTACACTCCAGCAAGACTGACACCCGAGGCTGGGGACCTGTGGATTCACTGTCCTCTTACACTCCAGCAAGACTGACACCCGAGGCTGGGGACCTGTGGATTCACTGTCCTCTTACACCCCAGCAAGACTGGTACCCGAGGCTGGGGACCTGTGGATTCACTGTCCTCTTACACCCCAGCAAGACTGACACCCGAGGCTGGGGACCTGTGGATTCACTGTCCTCTTACACTCCAGCAAGACTGACACCCGAGGCTGGGGACCTGTGGATTCACTGTCCTCTTACACTCCAGCAAGACTGACACCCGAGGCTGGGGACCTGTGGATTCACTGTCCTCTTACACTCCAGCAAGACTGACACCCGAGGCTGGGGACCTGTGGATTCACTGTCCTCTTACACTCCAGCAAGACTGACACCCGAGGCTGGGGACCTGTGGATTCACTGTCCTCTTACACCCCAGCAAGACTGGTACCCGAGGCTGGGGACCTGTGGATTCACTGTCCTCTTACACTCCAGCAAGACTGGTACCCGAGGCTGGGGACCTGTGGATTCACTGTCCTCTTACACTCCGGCAAGACTGACACCCGAGGCTGGGGACCTGTGGATTCACTGTCCTCTTACACCCCAGCAAGACTGACACCCGAGGCTGGGGACCTGTGGATTCACTGTCCTCTTACACTCCAGCTGTTCCTAGAAACTCCCTCCCAGAGGCGCTGACAGCAGGGCCAGAATAGTTGACTGAAATTCTGCCTCCTCACATTGCCTTCCTCCACTCTTGCCAACTGTAAAGTTATAAGCTGTTCACAAAAGAGACATGGAAAAGCAGAAATGCTGAATAAATCCATTCACGAGAACAGAAGATCGTTAGGAGTGCCGGCTGCAGGAAAATCCTTAGTGACTGATGCATGAAACACATGAAAGATGAACTCTGTTCTGGCTTCATGAAACCTGGGTCCTCCTATTAGAAACCTCAGACTGTGATCGTCCAGGAACGGTCATGCCCCGCCGAGATGGGGTCTCTTTACAAGTGCATCACCTTTTACCCCTCTCCAAGGCGCCCTTCTCTCTTCATTTAGAGTTCATGTAGTTGTTTCTAATGGCATTGAAATCTTTGCTTCTTTTCCTTCCTCTGGCCTGTGTATTAACCTTCTGCCTGCTACCTCACTTCCTTTCCCATGCTAGCCAATGAGGAACACTGGCCAAAGGTATGTAAGAACCATTTTCCCCCTGTCTTTCCCTCCCCCTTTTCCCCTTTTGTTCCCTTCTCTTGGTATATAGGTCGTCCTCCAAAATACAATGCAGTGCTGGGGTTTGGAGCCCTTACCCCAACATCCCCCCAATCCAGTCATCCCGACTCCCCTGAAAATGAAAAGACAGAGACCACATTCACTTTCCCTGCACCTGTGCAGCCTGTGTCCCTGCCCAGCCCCACCTCCACAGACGTAAGTAACTCGGGGGCCTGCACTCTCTCTGAGAGCTCACCTGGGAAAGCCATTGTCCTGTATTGTCTCCTCGCCAGATTGATCCTTCCTCGCTAGCCCTGGAACAACAATAGACCCTGCATACTGCCTGCATACCATGCCAGGCAGCTTTCTTCTGGGATCTCAGCTGTTTCTTGTCCTTGAGAGTCATGTTCACATAAATCCAGGGAATCCCAGGGTTTAAGAGTCTGGATTTATCAGCTGTGAATGAACTCTCGGAGGAGGGTGGGAACATGGATCTGTAAGTTGAGGGTTCTCTGCCACTGGTGCATTGGAGAGAGCACGATCAGAGCAGATGCGTCTAGCAGCCCTGCTGCCGTGTTAGGCACACCTCTAGAAGTGCAGTGTTTTCTGTTTGGGGGAGCTGGTCAGAAGCAGGTTTCAGCAGCAAGTTCACTCAGCAGATCCTCACTGAACCCTGTTCTGCTGAGCGAGTGCTGCTCATGAAGCTGGGGATACAGCAAGGACCAAACCGAGCAAAATGCAAGCACTTGGGGGCTCGTGTTCTATAGGAGGAGGAAGGCAACAAAGGAACAAATATGTAACCCAGTAGGCAGAGATGAGCACCAGGAGGAGAAGTGGAACAGTAGTGAACATGGTGCAATGCCAGGAAGGTGAAGGCATCATCCACAGAGAGGGAGAAGGGACCTCTCAGCTGTGTGTGGGAGGTGTGACTGGAGAGGTGACAGGTCCGCTCGTGCACGGTTCTGTGACGTCTGTTCTAAGTACAACAGGAAACCACCGGTGGAATGACATCATCCCACTGATGTGTTGTATTGTGCAGAGGTTGCTGCAGTGGTGCAGTGGACAGTAACATCGTTTGCTCTGATGCATTAGTTAATTTGCTATATTGTGCCTTCCTTGACATGCTTGGACCCACATGCATGTGCAAACATGTGCATGTGTGCACACTTCCTTGTTTTTAGAAATTGGTTACATCTGATCTTGTAATACTCAGTTCATATTCCAGTTTTTTCACTTGTCCCAGTAATTGCCTTCGTCTAAGATCACTCGTGGCACTTATTTCCCTGGTTGAATCTCTTTACCCTCCTTTATTCTGAAACCGTTTCTTAGGCCATCTTTTTTTTAATTAAAGTCTATTCATTTAGAGTATGTGTATCTGTGTCTTTGTATATGCACCCATGCTGTGCATTTATGTGGAGTCAGTCCTCTCCTTCCACTTTGTGGGTCCCTGGGATTGAACTCAGGACATGAAGCTTGGTGACAAGTGCACTTGTCTACTGAGCTGTCTGACCAGGTCCCCTAGCCTGTCTTTCTCTTTCCTAATGGTGGGGCAGGTGCTCCACTGGACATGCATTCTGAAGGCACCTAGATTCAGGATGACAGCTAGTGTATTGCAGGCAGAGGCATGTGACGTCAGCCAGGTTCCTCTCTTGAGATGATCCCCATTGGATTTTTTCACTTGTAAAGTATGTTTTCACTCTGGTTAGAGATAGCATTGAATTCGTAAGTATCTAATAGTTTCCTAACAGACTTGTTAACCAAAGACTGAACCCTCCTTGGAAGGTTCCTGGTGCTTACAGTGCCAGCTGGAGTTTGAAAGGAGCACTGCAGAGAGAGGGACTTAGGAAGGGTGGAATGAAGCAGAGGCCTTAAGAAGGCGGCTGTGGTGGTCCAGGCAAGAGATAGTGACACATAGTCCTGATGGAGTGGTAGACGCAGAAATGGAGAAAGTGGCCAGTGCTGTTTGTATTTTGAAGATTTGGGTGGATTAAATTGAATAACGAGAAAAAGAGAATTGTCGAGGATAAATGTAAAGTTCACGGTCTAAACAACCAGAAGGCTGAAGATGACAAGTAACAGAACAAGAACTTCTTTGTCCGTGTCCTCATCTCTTAGGAACTGCAGGGCTTGTGTTAACCATCTTCCGGCGAAGTGTTCCTTGCAGTCGAAGGCTCTCTTGACTTACTAATGGCACAGTCCTCTCCACAAGAATGCCACTGAAGCCCCGAGTTAGAATTCTGGAGGCAGCAAACCAAGTATTATCTTTGGAGAACTGGGGTCATAGGAGACTTCTGTTCCCAGAAGGTTCTATTCCTGCTGTAGCTGGTGCTACAGACTTGTCCTGTTCTAAAGACTTGGCATTCCATCCATCCTTCCTAACCTTTGGCCCTGGGAACTGATGCAGGTTTTCTAACTGTCAGGGTCACATGCACCTGGAGTCCCTGCCAGAAACCATGTTTGCTGATACCAAAGACTGTTCCAGCTTTTCCCCAGTCCAGATGTGATCAAAGAAACCAGCAGCTCACTGACTCCCTGTGCCTTGATGCACAGTGCCTTATGCCCTGTGCCTTGGTCTGGGTTCTTTTGTTGAGTCTACGCTTTTCTTTTACAGCCTAGACCTAAAGGTTCTGGCCAAACTAAAAGCTTTTACCAGATTTCATCTTAAAGCACAAACATAGTTCTTTGCAAAAATCTAAAGACAAAATAATGCTTTTCTGAAACCACTAAAAATATTGAGAATTTCCTGAGTTAAACCCAGTGGGATACATTTTTTTTTTTTTTTTAGAGATAATTGACTTCTACTTTTACAGCACCCAACAGCAGCTGTGATTAAATCAACACACAGGGTTCTGTGCTTGCTGCTGGGTAGCATAGGCCTCTACATTAATTAGACAATAGCAGTTGAGAGCCGAGCATTTCCTGGGGATCAATAACCATCTAGAAGGACTTGGTAATACAAGACCCAGCCAGCCAATAATCCTCAGGATGTACCTTGTTGATGCTGTTATTTTCATGGGAAGGGAAGATATGTTTACTAATTATAAATTTTTAACATGCAGTGAAGCTGAAGTTGGTAGAGGCCGTATGTCCTCAGCAATGTCACAGTCAAGCATATTCCAACTGAAGTTTGCTCATGCCTGTCACCAGAGTTAAGCCTTTTGAGCTCCACTCTTTAGGCAAAGACTGACGCTGATGGATGCACTGTCCCTGTATTTTATATTCATTCTGACATTCTTGGAATTTTATATTTAAACTGTTAGTCTATATAGAGCAGTTCTCAAAATTTGGTCTGGAGTCACTGGCGCTTTTTAGGGATATATAAAGCAAAATTGTTTACAAAGTAATACTAATGCATCAGGCACCAGCCCCACCCTCTTCCTCAGAACTAGATGGGACTTCCAGATACAACATCCCATGTGTTATGGTGGATGTTTAATGCTTCTTGTGTTCTTAAGTTTTGTTTCAGTGTACTGTTGCTATGATTCTGTAATTAACACAGATGTCCTCAATGACTTTCCGTACATAGAAATTCTAACAGCTGGAGAGATGGCTGCTCCTCCAGGGGACCTGGTTTCATCTCCCAGCACCCACATGGCAGCTCACAACTGTCCATAACTACACAGTTCCAGAGGATCTGACAACCTCACAAAGACTTAAAAACATACATGTAGGCAAAACACCAATGGACATAAAATAAAAATAAATTATAAAAAAGAAAGAAATCCTGACACTCAAACACTAGATACTTCTACTGTATTGTATGTAAATATGAAATTTGAAAGATGGAACTGGAGAGATACGTGGACACGTGCACGCGCACACACATGTGCACACAAAGGGCAGTTTCCTGCAGAGAGAAACGGTTTGACTGGAAAAATGCATTCCCTCAGTGGTGTGGTGGTAGAGGAGGGACTTGGCATCACTCTCCGTCTTTCCGCTTACTCTGTAGTTCTGTGGAAGACTTTCTAGCAGACACCTTAAAGCAGTGTCCTCCAGCCTGTCCCTTCCTTGTCATCCTAATCCATGTGTGGATGGAGTCTCAGCCACACACAGATTGTGCATCGATTTGCTGAAGCACACCTCTTCAAAAACTCTTGATTTATTCTCCCTGTGTTCTTCCCTCCAGATTTTAAGTAGACTTGCCATGTTTTGGTTTGATGGTGCATTCTGTTCTGAGGGCCCAGATGCACCCAAGCACTGTAGAGTTCCCATTAGTGAAGTATTTGATGGGGAAGAATAAAGCCTCCCACTGGATGGTCTGTTGAGCAGCAAATGCCAGTGCTGCAGAGCATCATCGGCTGCTACTGTGCCTTCCCCAGCCCCACGTGCTAGAAGCTTCTATAAGGTTTCTGCTCCTGGCTCACTGTACTTTGCCCACATAAGCAAGAAGTTGAGTTTATTGTATGCTTGTGTTTCCAAATTCTTCTTAAACTCCCCCAGATGGTAGATAATAAATGCCACTCCTGTCATAGTGTGAATGGCTTTGTTGGTGACTTTTGGCATTGGAGGTGCCAACTCGTTACCTAAGCCATTGATTTGGGCCCAGGCAGCTGAAGGTCTTTGCTGTCAACTCTGACTTATAAGGTTAAATCCTCAGTCTAAATTTGTAAGTTTAAAGAAAGTCCTTAATGTTTCAATTTCAACTTAAATTGCCAACCCATAAGCTGAGATCTGTGGAGCAGGCAGAGTCTGTGCTATTTGTGATCCCTGCTTTCATACACCGATGTGTTGGAGGCTGTCTCTAGGCCATCAGCTTGCTTGTCAGTGTGCAAGGTGGCATTGAGTTCTTCCTCGTCGTTTTTCTTACCCTTCCTCTCCATCTCACAGGGTGATATCCATGAAGATTTTTGCAGTGTTTGCAGAAAGAGTGGCCAGTTACTGATGTGTGATACGTGTTCCCGCGTGTATCATCTGGATTGCTTAGACCCGCCTCTGAAAACAATTCCCAAGGGCATGTGGATCTGCCCCAGATGTCAGGACCAGGTACTGGGGGTGGGCCGAGGAAAAGAAGGACAATGCTACGGAAATTCCTTTCTCTCCCATTCTGGGGAATAGGCTTCTCTTCTCTTTTTTTGGTCATTATTCCGTAGGTCCCATCCTCTTAGCTCACGGCACAGCATGCAAACACACAGCATGCAGACACACAGCATGCAGACACACAGCAGAGCCTTTGTTCACCCACAGGCTCCCTAAAACGTGAATCACCTCCTTCAATGAGAAATGACTTCTTCCCCTTTGAAATCCAGACCCTCTGCCCCGCATGGTGGCACATACCTATAATTCTAGCACTTGAGGGGCTAAGCTTAGAGCTTTACAAGTTCAAGAGCAGCCTGGGCTACGTAGTAAGACTACCACACACACAAAAAAAAAAAAAAAAAAGAAAAGAAAAGAAAATAGAACAAAAAATAAGATCCTTAAGAGCTCATTCTTGGCCGAGTCTGGTTGTGCACACCCTAAGTCCCAGCAGTTGGGAAGCTGAGACTGGTGGATTTCTGAGTTTGAGCCAGCCTGGTATACATAATATCTCACTTTCCAAGTCAAGCCAGGGCTACAAAGTGAAATATTATATCAAAAAACTAAACCAAAATAAATAAAACCTGATTTCTAAATTTTGGGGGGATGGGAGTGTTTCTTTTGTAATGCTGGGACCTAAACCCAGGGCCTTGTGAATACTACATAAGCTCTCTGTTGAGCTGCATCTTAAGTCCACTGCATTGAGACAAGATCTCTCTCTCTCTCTCTCTCTCTCTCTCTCTCTCCCTCTCCCTCTCCCTCCCCCCCCCCCCCCCCCCCCCAGTGCTGGGTCCACACATCTGACCACGCCTGTCGTGGCCCTCCTCCCATCAGCTCCAGTGCAGTCAGGGTGCCCTTCACCTGCTCCCTCTCTCCCCATGCGGCCCTCCTGACTTCAGGATTTAGAACTGTATTCACCTACTTGGAGAAGGTGTTTTTGAGGGACATAACAAAACTAAATTTGAAACAAACAGCCCATGCGAGCTCAAAGGCAGACTTGCCTGAGGGGACTGCATCATGCTAGCATTGCACCAGCCTCCAGCTCCACGCTGCTGGTTCTGGCTCTAGGGTGGTTGGAGTTATGTGGTTTTGTTTTCTTGTTTGAATGGATGTTTTTATTTTTGCTTTTGTTTTGAAACAGGGTCTCACTGTATAGCCCTGGCTGACCTGGAACTCTCTATGTAAACCAGGTAGACCTCAGACTCACAGAGATCCACCTGCATCTGCCTCCTGAGTGCTGGGATTTAAGGTGTACTCTCCCGTGTCCCAGCTCATGTGACCTTTTTATATTTTTATGTATTCGTTTTATGTGTATCTGTGTTTTATCTGTTTGTCTATCTGTGCACCGTGTAATATGCCTGGTGCTCTGTGCCCTCAGTGACTAAAAGAGGGTGCCACATATCCTGGGGCTGGAGTTACAGACAGTTGTGAGCTGCCATGTGGGTGCTGGAGTTTGAACCCAGTATGTCTGAAAGAGCAGCCAGTGTTCATAACCACTGAGCCATCTCTCCAGCCCTCACATGACTTTGAAAGAGATACAGGATGCTCCCAGCTCTCTGCCTCGTCCTTGACTTTGGGCAGTCTATCCACAAGCCTCTGTGGGTCTTGGCCACAACCAGACACTGGTGCTTGCTGTTACCTTGGTTCTCAAGGGAGAATTCTAAATTCTTTTCAGATGCTGAAGAAGGAAGAAGCAATTCCATGGCCCGGAACTTTAGCCATTGTTCATTCTTATATTGCCTACAAAGCAGGTAAGGTCTGCCTTTCCAGAAGAAAATGCTACTAGAAAGCCATGTTGGTTTTGTTTTCAAAGGAAAATAAAAATGCTTTATTGAGTGAAGTTGAAGGTGTTTGAACCACCTTTTCAGACGGAAATTATGAAGTGTGGTTCCTCACCTGTGTAAAACCTGGCCCGGTCCACCAAGGCCAGCATACACTGAAGAGTCCAGGTGGTCAGGTTCTGTGTCCTGGCTGTGTGACCGAGGGGCACTTTCAGGGTGGGTGTCTGGTGAACACCCGAACCAGGTAAGCTCTTCAAAGTACTGATTGTTTAAAACCTGTTTTCTCCCCCAGCAAAAGAAGAGGAGAAACAGAAGCTACTTAAGTGGAGTTCAGATTTGAAACAGGAGCGAGAGCAGCTAGAGCAGAAGGTGAAGGAGCTCAGCAGTTCTATAAGTGTAAGCCACATTCCATCCTGGGTCCAGTCCAGTGTGTACTAGTGACCAGCGTGGGCAGCTGGATGTCTGCCTTCTGAGCTAGTGTGCAGTGCGTGCTCAGGAGCCATGGCCACCTGGCACGGGACACCTCGCCCAGCTCTGAGTGTCCATGAGTAGCGGCTGCCCTACTGGAGCACCCCCCAGTGCCTGTGCAGTTTTGATTGCTTAGGAGGAAGGTAGAGCCTCTCCCAACCCTGAGCAGACCTGGGCCCCCTTGAGTGACTCTTTTAGAGACCTAATTTACTGGACTAAGGGAAGGACTACCAGCTGGTAACCCAAAATGACCAAACTAAACCCAAACGACCTGGTTCACTGACTGGAGTCTTTTGACTTGGGTCTCAGGACTCTTAAACATGACTGCCATTCAGGTCCTACCTCTAAATTATGAGTGAGTAAATGATCTTCCAGAGACCTCAAGTCAATTCTTGTGTCTCTCGCTGGCAGAAACACGCTTCAGGGCAGTTTTTGTGGTGAATTTATCATAGTATCTTTGTAAGTTCCAGTGTCCAATAGAGTTGGCTTTCACCCTACCCATTGACCCCCAGCCTTTCACGTCCTCCTTTGATAATGTCTGCCCATAACAGGTGGAACAGTATAAGTTGTGGGGTGCACACCAGTGCACAGGGGTTGGTTTGTGGGGTCACTGGGCCCAGGCGGCTGAGTGTCCATCCTTGTGATTGGCTGCAGAAATGTATGGAGATGAAGAATAGCATCCTGGCCCGGCAGAAGGAGATGCGCAGCTCCCTGGACAAGGTGAAACAGCTCATCCGCCTCATCCATGGCATCGACCTCTCCAGACCTGTAGACTCTGAGGCCACTGTGGGGGCCCTCTCCAATGGCCCAGACTGCACCCCCCCTACCAACGCCGTCTCCACACCCGCCCCCTCCCCCTCCTCACAGAGCTGCACAGCGAACTGTAACCAGGGGGAAGAGACTAAATAACAGAGCCCTCGAGGAGATGCCACGTCTCGGTGGTGAGGAGACTCTAGAGAAGCAAAGCCGGAGTTCTTCTGGAAAGTACAGAATTCTTTTGGTTCTTTGATTCCAGAGAGAGAGAAGATGCTTGTGCCAGGTGGCACCAAGTTTGCCAATTGATTCTTCTTATTCTGTGTGTACATGCAAAGATTGGACCATGTTACATGAAATAGTGCCAGCTGGAGGTTCTTTGCCAGCACCATGCCAAGTGAAATAATATATTTACTCTCTCTATTATACACCAGTGTGTGCCTGCAGCAGCCTCCACAGCCACGGTGGGTTTCTTTTTGTTTTGTTGGGTGGGGAGCAGGGACGGGCAGAGGGAGGAGAGCAGGTTTCTGATCCTTACTGGGAGCTGTTTGTTTAGGTAGAAAAGACAAGTCCAAAGAGTGTGTGGGCTTTCCTGTTCCTAAACTTTCACTACCATAAAACCAAAAAAAAAAAAAAGAAGAAAAAAAGAAAAAAAAACGGAAATAGAGGTTTAACTTACCCAGTGCCCAGAGGAGGGCCAGGGAAGGCTGGGGAGGGGGGAGCAAGGGGGGAAAGTATATGACATAAGCAGTATTTAATGTTTCTGGAGTGGGCCTAGTACCAAGAGAGCCTAGGTCCCCTCCCCAGCTCCGCTCTCCCCCACAGCCTCCAGCAGCCTCTTCCTTCCCTCTGCTCAGTGTAGTGCACAGCCCCAGGTGGTCCCCAGGCCTTGCTGAAGCAGGGAAGGGAAGGTGTGTGTGGTCCAGGAGGGAGAAAGGCGGAGGAAGGTTTTACTTGAAAACAAGCTCCATCCTTTTTCTATATTTATAAGAAGAGAAGTTCTGAGCAGAGCAGCACGACCAGGTGTGTGAGTGGAGACGACCCTTTTCTCTTCTTTGAGGTTTTGTTTCTGTTCTTGTTTTGTTTAAACAACATTTTATTTCATTGTTTATTTTATCTTTTTTGTTTTTGTTTTGTAACAAGAACTAAAATACGGAATAAAGCAGCTGTTCCCAGGCTGGCATCCTGTTAAGGTAGCGAGACCTTGCATGGTAGAGTAGACGTCATAGTGTCAGTGAGGTCAGTGAGTCTTTGTGGGTCCCATGTCATCGTCCGGCACTGTTTTTGCTTTTGGTTTTGGTTTTTTTGGGTTTTTTGTTTGTTTGGTGTTTTTTTTGTTTGTTTTGTTTTGTTTTTTTAATGCAAGGGCAAAAAAAATATCTTTGTACCTGGGGAAAACAACAGCAACTTTGTTTTTTAATTAAAAAGGAAAACAAAAGATATTGAGGTCTTCCTAGTGTTACTTAAATTAAGATCAAGGTAAGAAACATTGTAAAAAAATTACAAAAGTGCTATTTGTTTCCTAAAACAGTGATTTATATTAAAAAGGTGTCAGAACTGGAGAAAATGCCGTGTAGTTATAATTTTTTTAGCACAGAACCCTGCTGATCACAGTGACATTTTGCTGTGTTTGTGTCTCTGAACTGGTGGGCCAGTCTTCAGAACGGCAGGTCCTCCCGCCTCCTTTCTCCCTCAGACTGTGCTGTCTTTGTGGTACAGGGATCACATCTCCTGTTTGAAAGCCAAAATGGAGTGTGCATGGTGTGAGGGCTCCCCACAGTCTGGGACCTGCTAGTGTGCAGGCTGGTGCCCACCTAAGACCTTCCTTTGGTGCTGCTCTCGGTCCTTCAGCCACCAGCATTACGTATGCCTCGGGGGCACCTTTGGGGGCCTGACCAGTGGGGTGGGGTGCAGGCTGCTGCGTCAGAATTAAGGGAGAAGATGCCTTGAGGGTCCATATGTCTCTGAGAGCCTAGGTGGCCTTCAAGTCCATCTTGCATTGAAGAGAGAAGACTGAAGCCCCAGCTGTCCTCTGCCCACTGGCACCAGGGTCAGAGTTCACTCCATTCCACCCACCCACATTGCTTCCTGGGTGTCCCTGGGCTAGAATCACTACACTTGCCTTGTTTGGCCTATTGCCTTTTCTTCCTGGAAAACTGGGGTTCTGCAAGACTCATAGTTGTCTCCCCTACAGTGCCACGGGGAAAGTAAATCGAGATACATGTTGCCATGGGAACCTGTGTCCATGTCCTTGAGTGAAGGGACAGAGGCCGAGGCTCTGCCCTCGGGTCCACAAGCAGCATCTCTCTGGGGCCCACGAGGCCCCAAGTCTAGGAATAGCAGGAAAAGGCCCCTTTGCTTCGTCCTTGCCCAGAGCTGGATCCTGACAGGAACTGCAGCAGGACAAGGGGTGCTTCCGAGAGTGAGCAAGGCCCATCCACACCAGCCGTCCATTCCTCTCCCCAGCATTTGAAAGGAGGCGCCCTAGTTTGGCCATGCAGGCCTCTGGCTTCAGGTTGACTGAGGGGAGCAGAAAGAAGAGCCCTCTTTTCTTATTCAGAAGCTAAGGTGCTAAGTCTAGTTGGAGATGCCTGGACTAGTTGGAGGAATCTTTGGCAAGAGATCAGAGACCAGCAGCAGGCTGATGTCTTGGCTCCCCCAATCTCCCAACCCCCTCTTGAACTTGTCTGGGCCCATAGGCTAGGACTTGGCACACCAGTTCCTACCTGTGATGGGAAGAGGTTGAGAAGCCATCATCAGCCATTGCAGGCCTTTGTTTGCCCCCAGAAGAGCTGCTTGCTGGTGACCATTGCAGGAGCTGAGCAGCATAGATTCCTTCTGATGATGGAAGTGAGCTGCTTGTGTTCACTGGAGTGGAGTAAAAACTGTAGCCCTGCTCCAGGCCTCCATCTCCGTGCCCTTCTCTGTGTTAGCACAGCTCCTTGTCCCCGTAGACATCCGGGATCCTTCAGCTTTCCTTCCCCTTCCTGCACAGCCACGTGTGTAAGACCCCGCTGGCTTGGTGGTTGCTTTGGAGGGCCCAGGATGGGAGTCCCTTTGTCCCCCCAGACTAGGCTGGCAGGTGCAGGCTGTAGCGGTCGCCTTTCTCTTTCTGATCCTGCTGTCTTGCCTTCCCCTGCTGACTTCGTCATTTCTCATCTCTTCCCTTCCTTATCTGTCTGCTGATGGCACTCTTCAGGGAAGACCCCACTAGAGGCAATCCCTGGATGGACCTACCTATGTGGGGCCTGTCTCTGGAGCCAATGGCAACCACCAGGCAGCCTCCGGCTGGCCCCCATCTTGATGATTAGTATCCTGTAGGGCCACCTCTCAGCGCTGCTGCTGCTTCCTATCTGAAGCCCAACAGGCAGTGTTAAGGGTCATGTGTGCTCAACACTGACCCAGGGTTTCCAGCTGTCAATCTGCATGTACAGCTGCCCTCTCCACCACCTTCCTCTTAGGGCTACTGGAGCCTTCTTGACTCTCACCACCAGCCCCCCCCCCCCCCCCCCCCCCCCCCAGTTCACACCCTCTAAGTGGTCTCTTCCATTAGGCCCTTCTTAGATCCGGACCTTCCCTAACTAAAGGGCTGACCTTTTGAGGACATTTCCTTCCAGGAACAGCAGTAGAATAGACCAGTGGCCTTTTCTGGGCTCTCCAGAGCCCCATGGCTTCTGTTGAATGCAGGCGACTTTGCTCTGTGTAAGGGATTGTGGGCCTTGTCCCACCCCTCATCCCAGCACCCTTGGCAGAAAACAGGAGTCTCGGCCTATGCTCCTGTCAAGCAAGATGGGTGACCTCTGGAAATATTCTGCTAACCCTCCCTGAGGAGTGAAGAGTCCCGAGAGCCAGGGTGGCACTCTAGCAATTCCACATGGCAGTCTTGGCCCCTGCACCCCTCTCCAGTGTCCCTCGCTCTTAGACCAGGGTGAGTTGCAGCCGCTGGGTGGGCTGAGCAGACCAGAAGTCAGCAGCTCTGAGACAGAGCCAGACAGACCCAGTCCCGTCTGTGTCCATGCCCTTTGTGATTTCAGTCTGGTAGAATTTGTATTTGGAGGTTTTGTGCTTCAAACTTTCTGTTTTGTTTGTTTGGTTTTTGTTTTGAGGGGGTGGGGGGGGGGTACAGAGCAGCCCGATCAATTTGTATTTATTTATTTATAACATTTTACTAAATAAAGCCAAATAAAGCCTCTCAGCCTCTTGGTGTTTGAGTTTGGGGCTAGGGTGGGAAAGCGTGGGGTTAGATAATCCATGTCTAGTCCGTGGCCTTGGAGGGTGCAGACTTGCCCTCCGCTCCCCGCTGCCCACCGATGCCATCAGACTGCCCTCCGCTCCCGCTGCCCACCGATGCCATCAGACTGCCCTCCCGCTTCCCGCTGCCCACCGATGCCATCAGACCTGCCCTCCACTCCCGCTGCCCACCGACGCCCTTGATTCCCCAGCGAGAGTATACAAAGTGGTTTTTAAAACTTTACTGTGGGGTGAAAGAAATGACTCGGGTTAGACCTAGGTTTGGTTCCCAGCACTTACATGGTGGCTCACAGCTACTATAACTCCACTTCCAGGGGATCTAAAGCCCCCCTTTTACATACACACATATAGGCAGGATAGTCACACACAAAAACAAAACCCCAAT